TTCACATTGCTTCTATGCTATCGATAAAGAGCCATTGCTCGAAACGTCTAGCTATTTTTAATAGTTATTTAGGACTACGATTACCAAATATTATCTTCAATATATCATACTTATCAGTCCGAGCAGCGTTTATTTATTTATAACTACTATTGGCATAGGAGAAGATTAGCTTATACATTCATGGCATGGATTAACTCAAGGCCGTATATCAGGTTTTTTCAAATTCCCTTGCCTTTGGGGTGCGTGGGAACCATGATTTCATCATGCACGAGCTGACACTGAGCGCCCAATGAATTTTTGGATGGGAGGTAGCAGTATGATAATATTTGCCAGTAGACAGTATCTACTTGCAGCCAAAGGTTTAGGTAATCTAGAAAATGTCTGTTACCAATCTTATTATTCATTGATATTATCCGACGTTTTTGCGTCATCATTCCACTTTCCTACAAGCTCCTTTGCAGTGGAAACATTCAGATGTTTCTCTGCAGCCAACGAATTATGATTAAGTATTCCTGCAAAGTTTCTCTTTGTTTTAAATATTCGGCCTTGGTCGAATTGCCAAACAAAGAATTACAGAAGCAGCATTATCACATATAATATAGTTATTAAATCATGGAGTATTTTGACACAAATAAAATATTTCAAGCAAATACATTAAGAAATGATACGTTTCTAGAATTATTGACACTGGTCTAGTTTTTAGTGTACTACAAATACTAATTTACCTCGACATTTTCTTCATTTGAACCAGTTACACCAACAAATTGCGAACTCACAAAAAGCAATAGCAGCACGACAAACATGATGTTCTAAGAATAAAAAAATAAATATGAAAGTTTTAAAAAGAATTTATAATTATTAAAATAGCAAATTATGTTCATACATATATTATTTTATCGTGCTAACAGTCGATAGTTATTAAACAAGACATGAAATGATCGGTTATGCATATATATATATATTCACTTTCAGAATCGTTGTATCACTAACATACATAATAGGTTAGTTCACTAAAAAATTATACATTAACGTCTGTCAGATGGCATCAAGAAAATATTATATGTAAGTGTTAGTTAGTTAGTTAGGTAAGTGCAGTTAGATACATACCTGACGTTATAAATAGTGAAGTCAAATGCATATATTAATGGTATGGTTTATTGTTGCAATTACTGACCATAACCGTGACATTTGAAGTTATGAACACATGGTAACGAACTACGATTATTACTCAAGTGTGGTTTCGCGATGATATCAAGACAATAAATAAATAAGGACACCACAAATTAAATTTATTTTACATTGTTCATCAGAATAGGGCAAAGACAGGTTTAGGAAGTTCCATTATCACATGACACAAAACATGTTCTCTCGTTAGTAGATACTGAAAAATGAAGATGACGACAGATTGATTGAGCGTATAAGAGGCCGCTCCAATAAGATTAATGAATTTTACATTATACAGAGTGGTCCACACCCGATTTCGCATACAGATTGCTTTGAGCTGTTCAATCTCAAACAAATAAGCGTTATATATGTTGACTGACTATTCTAATAATTAATCCGCACGACAGTTAATGTTCAGTGTCCAAATATGAATCAGTAGAACAGGGAACCATTTGTGCGGGCAATGGGTTACTTGAAATCACAAAACACGCAGATCACAAACATAAGGTAATAACATCCAAGTGACCGGCTGTCCGTTTGTGTCATATTTTGTCTATCACATATTCCCTTGACGGATTGGAATCCTCAGGACTCCATTGCATGGCATGGTAATTTTGTCTACAGCTGTTGTGGGCACTCAAGTGAACCAGTGAAGACACCATGTGTAGATGACAGTTAGATGGTTATACCTGTTTCAGTTGAAATTTCTTTAGAAAAACGAGTTCACTTTTATCAAAACTGTCTCTATAACATTTATATCAGCATCCCCCCGTAGCTTTAAGAGATGAGACAAAACAACAATTTAGAAAACAAATCAAACTGCAACATCGTGTTTAGACGACCTGTTTGGAGAAAAATATAATAGGGCCTAGAACTAGCATTTTACCACTTGATATCTTTTTCAATGTTATGGGGAATAGATTCCTTCAATCATAACCTAGTAGGAGAATATACAATAACTAACACATTTACTACAATTTCCTAGATATTTATTATACATTTGTATTTACTTGTTATCAGTACTTGAACGTGTTATATTAACACATTATGATAAGCAGCATAAATGTGATTTCTTATGGTGGATATATTGTTTTATCAATTGTTTTCACGTTTAGTGGCATATACACATTTTAATCACATGTACTTTTTGTTATTTTACGCATAAAACAATATGTTTGAGAAAAAAAGAATGTAAAATCTTCTGCGTTCTGGAAAACATATTTACATTCTTGCTAGTACCTTCAGCTCAGGCAAATAAATATTTGATTCTACAAAATTCAACAAAACAAATATTGATACTGCTAGTTTCATATTCAAATTGTTCAAATGTTCAATCACTTTAAAACTAATATTTGGGACATTCAAGCCTATATTTTATGTTATATTGAAACAACCAGAGAAACTTCAATAAGTATATATGCTTGTATACATGCGACTTGTAAATCTAATACTATAGTTAGGCCAAATAAACAAAATGCAGTAAAAGGCTTAGTTATTAGCCAGGCTAATTTTCACTGATAGCTAAACTTAAAACCAAGAAAATATGTATTGTTTTCATTAAAAAAATAGTGTATTTAAAACCTGGCGATTTTCACAGCAGCAAATAAAGTTCCCTACATAATGTTCCTCTGTATCTTTAATTATTAAACTGGTTTCTAAAGGAATTTTACCTTCAGTTTTCTATTCAGAAAGTTGCATGACCTTAGACAAAACAATTTTAGCCGGTATTTTGACAAAAGCTCATGTATGATGGTTATAATAGTTTTAACAAAATGTATTTCACCCTCCGGAGAAGTACCTTCCTGTGACACCATATAACATGTTTAGCGTCCTCCATCCCCAGATTTTCGTAAAGAAAGTAAATAACAACAAATACATGTTGAATCAAAGTAAACGTGCGCTGCGTGTGCAAATCGAATTGACACTCGCGTTCGGCCCAAAACTCTACAGCCCAAAAAATGTTAAATACTAGTATTTTGTTCAAAACTGGAAGACATTTCATTTGTTTTGTTTTGTTTTGTTTTTACACTATTTCAGGAAAAAAAACATTACGTGAATTGCAAATAACGTTCGTCACGTTGTAGGCGATCGCATTTCATGTTTTCTTCATCTGTCTTTGTTTTACAGATACAACCAAATAACCTTAGAGAATGTCAGAATCACAGATTAATATTTAACTCGTTTTACCCCTGTCGCTACGCTAACTCACCCAAACACTTTGGCATCATTTTCAGAGACCACAAAACGATATAAAATCTACCTTGACGCTCTTTTGGGGAGAAACACACCACCCATGTTAAATAGACGCAAAATCTTGGAAGTAAGATCCATACCACACATTCAGATTAGTTGAGAGTCAGCAGTCCTGACTAGTAATTGGTACATAATTCTTAAGATTGAATGAGTTGGGTTAGTAAATACGCCTTTTGAATGAAATATTAAATTACCTGTTTAGATGCAGGAGTGTTGACGTGCAGTTCCTAGGATAGTGCTCAAACAGTAATAATACACACACTAGTTTATAGGAAGTTATGTGCATATTAGTATGCATATGGCGTGTCTTATAACGAATGAGCGATCTAACAACTGTTAAACCCTAAACCCATAATCTACGTGTCTTAAGTCTGACGCATACAACGCGTATGCTTAAGCATATGATTCAACAGATTAAGACAGGTTAGACTGTCTCTAGAATTAAAGCAGGGGGTCGTCGCACGCGCGAGAATTGAATCCCAAGCGATGATAACACACGCTTAAAACGCAAAGGCTCATGGGTAGACTCTTGTATGTAAACAATGACGCTGTGGCCATCTGACGCAGGAATAGATGTAGCCTATGGAAAAAAGGCGCATTTACCTATGTATATGAAAGATTGCTGACTTGCCAGTCTCAAGTACAAATGGCACCATGTGCATACAATTCAAATATATGGTGTATCTTAGGAACAAGTGAGCAACCACAAATGTTGTAGCCTAAAATTTCATTTCCATGGAAGTATAAAATTTATGGATATATCATAAAATATACTGTATCTCTAAATGTGGCAATTATACAAAAAATAAAATATGACCAAGATATTATTTTGGTGAATCAAAAAGTAATACAGTTGTTCATTTCCATATATACATTCCTGTTAGCGGCATGGACGCAAGTGAAATATTATAAACACACAAATAATATAATCATGTTATTGGTATGTTTTATTGAAGGGGTGTAATATACTATGTTGTTATGCGTAGCCTATTGATATGAGATGTTTCTCACATGTGTTTCGACGTATATGGCAGCACACAAAAAAATAAAATCACTAGTTTTTGTTGTGGAACATAAACGTGTCTTAGCGGTTCAGTCGGGAATGTCTTGAGTAAAATATGTATCAAATAGACTGTAAATATTGACCAACGTAATTGTATGATCTCAAACAAATTAGCCAGTTTATGTTATTATATTTAAAATAAAAAAAAAAAACTTGCCCAGTATATTTTCAAGTGATATACGAGTCAAACATAGAATAATTACAAATAAATGGCTTTAACGCGAACTATTCGCAGCTGCTAAATCCCGACAGTCAGTCAAGGTATTGCACATATGGAGTGGACGTAATCAACCTATTAGTATTCTATGCGATTGGAGAGAAAGTGTTTTGATGAGAGTGTCTGGGGTGTACGTGTGTGGTACCAACAAATTTGTGACGACTTCAATTTATACCGACTTGTGACGACAGGACCTTTATTCTGTCGACCCTCGCCTTTTTCATAATTTTTATTATATATTTAATCGAATTTAAGTCAAGTTTGAATTGCATAGGTTTAGTAAAAGGTATGGTTCAATTTATATTAATATATTTTTTTCCACACCTTCCCATTTTACTAAACCTATCGCAACTATATTAAAAGTTAATCCAATGTATGTCGTTACAAGGACGGTAAGACGTGTATATGTGTATGTGCGTGCGTGTATGACAGGTGAATGAATGCATACATCGCTCTGACACGCAGTCCACAACGCACCAGAATTTGCCAGACTACTTTATTTTGTTTGGATGTATTAACCCATAATATTCATCCTTATATTTAAGGATAAGTAATTGTCATTCGCAAATGTAATGTACACGCGATATGAGAATGGATGCCGAGTACTAACATTTTTGACGAAGAAAACCACGACTGACCAACGGGTCAGAATTATGATTTTATTAGCATTACATACGTGACCGAGCTTTGCTGAATAAACCGAAACTTTTTAAATATACACTGGCTTCAATGAGGCCATACAACACTAAAGAATAGTATCGCTCGAGGAGTTAGCGTGTTTACGATTGCAAATACCAAAAAATGATACATCTAGTATATTTTAAGCAACAATATTTGGCAATCAACTTGCATGACGCATAGTTGTCAAATATTGTGATGCGTTGTATCTTTAAAAAAAATGAGTGACAGCGTACATTATGCTAGTAACTGGTTTATTTTACCCATATTTATTCAAACCAAAATCAATAATTGTCAACCAATAAGTTGCATTTATAATAGACCAAGCAAAACATATCTAATGTCTTTTTACATTGTACCAATACAATATCATGCAACTGTAACTATTCTCGACAAATCATGCTGTTTATATCATCTAAAATATGTAATTCTGTAACTACATGTCGATTATTCCCAAGCAAATGAGAAACAGATAAAATTGACGCATAAGCTGACTTTTCGTGCTGATTCACCAAATCTGACCAACGTTTAATGCAGCCTGAAAAAAAAAATGTAAAAACAATGTTATTACATTAAGCGAAACGACAATATACAATTACATTTTGCTATCACACAGAATTATTTACATACTGGGAATTGTATAGAAATATATAATTTGTTTAAAAGGATTATCTCAGTATAATACCAAGTGATACCGGCTAAGCTTTAGTCATAGGATAGCAGTGGTGTTTTGTGTGTTTGATATATTTTGATGCAGTCTTGATTGTATTTCACCGGTGCTAGCAGCTTTTATAGTTTTCCATCGTTGTGCCACACTCTAATATCTCGAACAAGTCTTAATGTATTGTCGTGTTAAATTATGTGCTGTCATGTTTGTTGCGAAACGAAGAAACTCTTGTCTAACTCAACAGTTCTTCCAATAGGTTAATATTTGTCTGTAGTTGCTTAAGACCCATTTTTTAGGCGCTGCTACAAACTTTCAAACAAAGATAATAAGATACCACCAACACAAATGTAGAAACTCACTTAATTCTTCCACATGTCTATAAACTCCTTTGCCCCATTTTTACTGCTGACATCGTATGCGTTTCCATTAGCATTATTGAAGTCATTAGTCGGATCACCATCCATGTTTCCACACAGCCCTTCAAGTACATAATTAAGACCACTTGGTATGCGTATAGTCAACTTCGGCCCAGTATACCTTACAACTACTGCGTTTTCCAGTCGAATTTCAATCCAAGCGTCATTTTCCGGAATTGCAAGGACGTCGTTTTGTACTTCTTGAAATATTTCTCCTTGCATTATATCGTTACCATTTTCGTCCTGGCAAAAATGTTTAAATTTAAATCAGTACAATGTCACATAATTCATTACATTGTTTGGGGAGAAATCTGTGAAAAAAACAATGCATTCGATATTTCGCCTAATATAGTAGAAGAATATTATTGAGATTAGACGAGTTCTGTGACTTTGAAATTCTGAAATTGGCGTTAATGATACGATATATTTAAATAAGTTTTGCTAAATTGTATTTTTGGTAAAGGATGTTCTGCTTAATGCTAAGGTCACAATTACCCAATAAAAAATCGCAAAAGTCTGTCAAACCTAATACCATGTAGTTAAATATTAAATATCTATCCTTGGCAGCCCAGTTTAGTATTGTAATCAGACTGTACATATGTATGGATATTTCATAACATTATTCATGTCATTTATGAAAAATAAAATTTGATTTCAGAGGTACACTAATTTATATTCAAATACAAATCATTGTATGATGTATTGATGTAACTTGAGTAAGAGTTAGACATGTATATGCTTTACGTAAAATACATTAGAGCGTACTAATTGTGACCATTAGTGTTTGTGAGTTTTGTTTTATAACCCTGATATTAAAGGTACGTTGCCGTCAGCTAAATCATATTTACCTTAATAATTTGGTCAACCCCATCACCCTTTCTTGACAATACATAGGTTTTATCTCCAGACAAGATGGTTACACCAATGATCACATGTGGTGCCTTTGGATGGGGTCCTATCCCAGGTGTGATGTCAATTTTGAATTCATAATCAGCACCATCTTCGCTCTTAGATATTGTATACGACTCAGATAAATCTCCATTAAAATCAAATATTGTTCCATCGAAGGTATTATATGAGGGTCACCAAAACCAACACATTTGGGACACTGGTCTGCATTTGAAGTGTCTCTTTTCATATCTAGAATCTCTGGGGCTGTAATGCAAAGTATCAAAGAGGATTATGCATACTATGATGGTTAGTGACTGCAGTCAATAAAAGTTCTAGATCGACATTAAGGGAGCGAGAGAGGAAACGAGAAAAAACAAACATTTATATTGATTGTTTAATTATCGTTGGTAGAAATTCATTGTGAACAATGTGTAATTTCAGTTTATTTTCCAAAGCCCAGTTATGGTTAACATCCCATCACACATCCCACCATACATACAAATACATTTACATAACCTGGCCAAGTGATGGGCAATGAATTTAATTTGTGTATTTTTTGAAGGTGCTACATATAACATGGGCCTTGAATGAATTAGCGGTACTATACGCTATCTACATTCTTTAATTTATCACTCACTCTCGCTGAAATTTCTAAGTTCTGTCACTTTTTGCGCATTATTCCATCGCTTTTCATAAAATAACAGTCTTAGTAGTGTTATAATTCATTCATAAAGTATGATAGAAAAAACGTACGTATGACTATAAATATGAAGAAATCTTTTATTGAATTTTCACGGAAACTAATTTTGGACTAACTTTTCCCCTGGTGATGATGCACAAATTAAACATCTATTCTCATTCACATACAAATGTGCTGAAGAAATCACACGTCTAATTTTGAGGGCAAAGTAACTACTCGGAACTCCCGGAGGATACAGGAACGGAAACCGCTGGTTTGCATTTGATCACCTTCTATATGGCCACAAGATGAGACCCGTCCGTGGAATTCAGTCATTCAAGTTTGATGGACTATATTTCCTGAACTGAAACAGAACAAAACAATTCCGAGATCCACTTTCAAGGATTTTTATCTCGCAAGGTAATAGTAAAACAAATGGCGAGAAATGGCCAATCGAGGGGAAATCTATTTCTTATCGAGGTTCGTGGAAACTTCTGTAACTTAATCTTCTAAGCAAACATTAACACTAAAAGTGCACGATAGTGTTCTCCTATAACTCTCCTGTGAATAGTTTTTTAAACGTGTTTGTTGTGTGTTTTTTACGTCGCGCTATGTGGCAATATGTGA